AGCCAACGCGGTTCGGCAACCGCTGCCTCCAGATGATCGGACGGTGCTGGCCCCACCTGCGGGCACTGGGCATTGGAGGGGCAGGCTGTGGTGTCCAGGGATTGGCCTCCTTAGGTAGGCAGCTCTCCTCTGGTGGGACAAGGAGAAGGGGACCTTGCTGGAGGCAGGGTGTACCCCTAGGAGATGCCCTACAGGGGAATCTCGACGGAGAAGCCCAGCGCAAGGACCAGGGGTGCACCCTGCCCCTCCTTGCTGCCACCCATCCCTCCAACCACCCCGTTCCCATTGGTTGTCTTCATCCCTTCTCCATGGGGTCCTGATGGTGGATGCTCTGTCCTTCCAGCCCGAAACTGCATGAGGCTTCAGGTCCTGGAGCTGGACCATGTGGCCGAGATCAACCAGGAGGTTGCTGCAGAGATGTGTCGAGAGGGGCTGAAGGGGCTGGAGATGCTGGTGCTGACCTCCACGCCTGTCACCCCCAAAGCCCTGCTGCACTTCAACAGTGAGTAGCCATGGCAGGAGTGCACCATCCACTGACCAAAAGGCCACCAGCTATTGAGGTCCATCAAGCAGCCCCTGCCTCCCAGCCCCACCTACAGGAACCCACCAACACTAGAAGGGGCTGGGAGCTCCATGGTGGAAGGTTTCAAAGATGGGGTCTAACCAACAGCCCCCTGCTAAGGAGGGAAGAGCTGATCTTGCCTTGGGCCACAGGGAGGATGGAGACACCTCCTCCATGCTCTCCTCAGTGTGATGGAGGCCTCAGTGTCTGTGGCACACCTGGGGTTCCCCCTGGTGTCTCTGAGCTGAGAGTCACCCTGTTCACTGAAGCTCTTTGTCAGGTTGGGAGCTTCAGGGGGAAAGAGGTCCACAGCCAGAAGGACAGCCTGTTGGAGGTGCATTTCCTGCTGGTCATGGCACACGTGACAGTGGTTGGACTTGCTGGGAACCCATCCCTCTGGGTGGAAGAGTAAGGGTTTCCCAAGGAATCAGTGAAACTGCTGATTTGGGATAGGACAATCGGGGACCATCTTGCAGACCATCCTCCCTACAGAGGTCTTGGTCACCAAGACTGGGTCTCCTTCACCTTCAGAGTGAGGTTTCCCCAGATGCAAAAGGCCTTGAGGAGGACTCTGTGGGTTTTAGGGTCCATCCTGGCTGTGGAGAGGATGTCCCCCCACCAGGTGTTTCTGCCCTCAGGTGTGTGCCGGAACCTGAAGTCCATCGTGGTGCAGGTGGGCATTGTGGACTACTTCAAGGAACCTCACAGCCCTGAAGCCAAGAAGATGTTTGAAGAAATGGTGAACAAACTCCAGGTAAGGGATGCCATACCCAGGTCACCCGTGTGTCCCCAGTCTCATGTCGGACCCCTGAGGACAAATTCTTGCCCACCACTGTTCCCTGGGGACACAAATGGGCTGTTGCCTCCTCCTTGGGACTACCTGCTTGGTGAACACCATCGAGTGGTTGAAAATCCACTCATGAAAGCAGAAATGGGGTTAATTTTAGCTGGGCTGAGTTGCAGACCTTGCTTAGCTTGTGGTGCTCAGCAGGGCCTGGGCTGTCCCTGAGCTCTTCAGGGTCTCCAGGGAAGACACCTCCATCTGTGTCCAAGGGGAAAAATAGGTCAATAGGTGCCTCCATCTCATGCCATCCTCTGGTTGGCTTCATCCTGCAGCAGGTTGGGCTCCCATGGGGGTGTCAGGTGAACCTCCCA